CATGACTTTTTGTATGGTCTCCTACCATCTGCTTGACTGTATCATGACTTTTTGTATGGTCTCCTACCATCTGCTTGACTGTATCATGACTTTCTTTACACCTAACTATATTCTGCTTGTCTGTACCATGACTCTTTGAATGGCCCCCTATCATCTGTTTGTGTGTATCATAACTTTCTGTATGGTCCTCTGCCATCTGTTTGTGTGTATCATGACTCTCTGTACAGTCCACTACCATCTGTTTGTCTGTATCATGAATTTTTGTACAGTCTTCTATCATCTGTTTGTCTGTATTATTACTTTCTGTAAAATCCCCTACCATCTGATTGTTAATATCACACCTTCTGCTATGATTATATACCAATTCTTGTTGAGTATCTTTTACGATGACATGATCATAAGGACTTGTATTAGTTATATCAGAAGATCCAATATGAAGAAGATCAGAAAGTTCTAAAGGGTCAAAGTCGACACTCTCCTCTTTCCCATGAATACCTCGAATAACAGAAAGAGATGGAGCCCAACTGTCATCATCAGTGTCTGATCCTATTCGTGACACTTCTAAACGTTCCATTTTCTTGCGCATTACATTCACACTGTGTAGAAGAGCATCCCTTTCATCCTGAAGAGAGTTTACCCTGTCTTCCAGTCGTTTCACAGTGTTCTGGTAGGAAGTGACCGACATCTCCAAGGTATGGACATTGGTGTGTGCTACCTGAAAAATAAGCAAGTAACTAGAGAATAACAACAAAACAAAATGTTGGTATCTATTTCACAAAACAATCAAATGAAATGAACTAATTTTAATCTGTTTACGACAAAAAATAATAATGAGATTTTCGAGAGGAAATATATATATTTGCACCAATTCCACACAACACACAAAAAAGAGGTTTGCTTAAACCTACTATGTGAGGAAAAACGTATCTGCACTGTTCCAGGAAAATGGTTACCTACCTACACAGTTATTCTCAGTAAGATAGTCACTTACAGCTATTCAAGACCATTTCCCTGCAACTACTCACTGTTCCAGGAAAATGGTTACCTACCTACACAGTTATTCTCAGTAAGATAGTCACTTACAGCTATTCAAGATCATTTCCCTGCAACTACTCACATTTCAGAAATGAATTCCTGCAGCTACATTTAGAAACAAGACTTACCTGTAGCTTCTTCCAAACACAAAAACACTTACTATAGCTGCTTGAAGAAAAGGTAAGAGGTATTCTAGACAGATAGGAATCCACCTAGCTATACTAGAAGTATTTGCAACCCCTCTTAGTAAAACTTGTGTAGCTCTACTCCCACAAAGATAAAAATATTACTTCCAGAAATACTTGTGTGCAACTACACCCAGGAAAACAGAAAAAACCTTGGCAACTACTCTGACAAAGACAGCAAATCTTGTGTGGAGTTAGTTACTCTAAGACAGAAAACTTATGTGCAGCAAGTCCAAGAAATACAGAAATTCTTATATGTAACTATTCCAGAAATACTTGTATTACAACAACTTTGGTATAAATGCTGATCAGGTTAAATAATACAGAATTACTAGTTGATTGCTCCAGAAGCAATTTCATGTTGCTGCTCCAAACATCTACACCAGAAGATATCTTACTGGTAATTTGAATAAATATGAAATATTTATGTGTGACTACTTCAGCACAAACTAATATACTATTTCATCACTGTTTCAGAAGACAGGGAACCAGAGAAAACCTCTGTAAAGTTTCTTCCGGAGAAAATACTCACCTGCAGTTGCTCTAGCAGTTCCATGTTCTGCCGTTTCAGATTTCGATTTACAGTTTCCAGTTTTTGAAATAGGTCATCATCTGCACGGTCTGGACTGTAAAGCATTTCTTCTTGTAAGACATGATATTCTACTTCATATGCTTGAAGTTGTTTACTAAGGTCCAGATTAAATACCTGTTTAACAAATGTTCCAGCTAAATACACTTATACCAGGATATAATGAGAATCAGATTGTAACAAGCTATATGGTTAATACAGGTGTAATGAGAATCAGCTAAAAGAATGTAATAAGCTACCTGGTTAACAAAGATTGTAACAAGCTATTTAATTAAGATTTACACTAAAAGTATAGAGAAAAGTTCTTATAAATATTTCAAGAAAATATGACGTATTACAATAAATAACACAGTTAATTAAAAAAGATTAAAACATATAAGTGACTTTTATTGTGGATATTTACAATATGTGACAGATTTGTTACTTAAGAAAAAAGCAGTTTACAGTAGCATAATAGTCAGAAACCAGCTGTTAAACAAAACAAATAATAATCTAAATAAAAAGAAACAATGAGGACTGGGCAACATTAATAGTAGTTCAAGTATAGTCAAACCTGGTTAAAAATCCTTTCCATTTGAATTATTCCCATTGATGGTAATGTGGTCTTGAGAAATTCCATTATTGATTCAAAACTGCAGCACTGCAGTAGAAGCTCCCTGTGGTTACTAAGTAAAACTAGTGCCACTTTAAAAACTGCTTCAATACCTTGTAGAAATATCAAGTCTGCAGAAAAAAGTATCTCATGACCAAAACTTTCCAGAAACATTAAATAATGGCTCAATATCTTGTAGAAATATTAAGTCTGCAAAGAACAACAAATAATGCATGACAAAAACTTTCCAATATCATTAAAAACTGTTTTGAAACCTTGTAGACATAGAGTCTGCAAATAACACCATTTGTTGTATATTCTGTTACGTTATCATTTAAGTCTGTGTTCTTTTTTAATTTTTTAATTATATTATAAACTTCTTACTTAATAACTGATGTTTTTTGTAAGAATATTGTGAAGTAACTTTATGAGGTTTTAACACTGATATGAGAATTTAAAACTACTCCAAAACATTTGTATTTCAAGATGTTTTTGGCATTACCATGTTTCTAATATTTATTACAAAATTTTGTTTTCCACCCAATGAATCAACTGAAATATATTTTAAGGTGTTATAGTACCATAAGGAGCTTTCATTGTATTTAAATAGTTTGTTTAAATTTTAACTAAAAAAAAAATAGCATAAAACCAAACACACAAAAAATTTTAAATTTTTGTTTTATTATGAGAAAGACTATGAAAGTATAAAAAAGAAACTTATTGTTTCTATTAAGCCACTATGCTGTAATGATATTCTAATATTCAATATATTTATCTATACTTTTAGTATACACATACAGGTGAACTTCAAATACTTCCTTAACTGACTCATCAAACAACCTAGATTTATTTATATCTTTAAAACAAACATACAACTGTACTTCAAGTTATTCATTAACTCTTTCAGCATGGGCTCGGTCCCTGGGACTGACCTCGGAAACTATTTTGTGCTTGTTATAGCTTTCATGCTATAAATTTTAAATTAGTAAGCGTACGTACGCTAACAAAATTTGGCAGATTATCAGTAAATATTACAATGCTTTCACAAGCAAAATACCAAGTTATTTTTTTAAGTCTTAAGTCTTAAGCAATGTTTTTCTTGAGCCTTTTTTTTCTTTTCACATGTTGCCTATCTAACATGCAAAGTAATTTTCATTTTAAGATTAAAAATACTTTTATG